CTTATTTTTATGCTTTTTCCTGTTTGTTTCTCAAACTTGATTGCAGTATTTTTACATGTACATTACTTGTTAGAGCTTATGGTCATGGTTTTGGGTTTTTTTCCTCCCCTTTTGGATACCACTTCTGATTCTCTGAAATATATCATTTCGCTTCAGATAGTTTCACTGACTTTACTATTTAGCCATGTTGCCATTTTTTCCTAGTTTGTTTAAAGCCTTCTTTTATGTGAGGGCGAGCAGTTATCTTCTGCCAATGAGCATGAATGCCTTACAAAAGCATGATCAGGAAATAATTATAGCAAACTGTTTTGGCTAAGCATTTGTACAAAAGGGCATACAGGAAAAAATGAGCCAGAATATAAGCACAAGTTTTAAAAACAAAAATAATATATGTATTTTTAACCCTTTTATTTTCATATTTTATAATCCTGAATAAATTGCAGTTATTTTGCTTTAACTAGATTTGAAGAATAGCTGATTTCTTTAAATGCCTACTGTCTTAAAAATCATCTATGCTAGATGAAAAAACAAAGTTTTCATTAGTAGAGAGGCAACCAAGTCTTGATTCTCTAGCCAGCCTAGTAGTAGAGCAAATGGGTTTGATGGATGGACTATTCAATGGATAAGGAGTTGGCTGGATGGCAGCATCCTAAGAGTTGCAGGTAATGGCTTAATATCCAAATGGAGATCATTTACAACTGGTGTCCCTCAGGAGTCCATATTGGGACCAATACTATTTAATATCTTTATTAATGACATAGACAGTGGGATTGAGTACGCCCTCAACAAGTTTGCAGATGACACCAGGCTGAGTGGTATAGTTTATATGCTTGAGGGAAGGGATGCCATCCAGAGGGACCTTGACAGGCTTAAGGAGAGGGTCCCCATGAACTGCATGAAGTTCAACAAGTCTGAGTGCAAGGTCCTTCTGCACCTGGGTCAGGGCAATTGCCAGCATCAGTACAGGCCGGGGGATGAATGGATTGAGAGGAGCCCTGAGGAGAAGGACATGGGGATGTTGGTAGATGAAAAATCAGACATGAGCTGGCAATGTGCACTTGCAGCCCAGAAAGCCACTCGTATCCTGGGCTGCATAAAAAGAAGCATGGCCAGCAGGTTGAGGGAGGTGATTCCTCCCCTCTATTCTGTTCTTGTGAGACCCCACCTGGAGTACTGCATCCAGTTCTGGGGTCCCCAGCAGAAGACAGATATTGACCTGTTGGAGCAGGTCCAAAGGAGTGCCACAAAAATGATCAGAGGGCTGGAGCACGTCTCCTATGAAGAAAGGCTGAGAGAGTTGGTGGTGTTAAGCATGGAGAAGAGAAGACTTCAAGGGAGACTTTACTGGGGCCTTTCAGTACTTAAAGGGGGCTTATAAGAAAGATGGAGGGAGACTTTTTACCAGGGCATGTAGTGATAGGACAAGGGGTAGTAGTTTTAAATTAAAAGGGAGTGGGTTTAGGTTAGATACAAGGAAGAAATTCTTTACAATGAGGATGGTGAGACACTGGAACAGGTTGCCCAGAGAAGTTGCAGATGCCCCATCCCTCAAAGTGTTCACGGCCAGGTTGGATGGGGCTTTAAGCAATCTGATCTGGTGAAAGATGTCCCTGCCCATGGCAGGGGGGTTGGAACTAGGTGATTTTTAAAGGTCCCTTCTGACTCAAACCATTTTATGATTTAAGTGGAGAGGGATTCCTGGTTGACTATTAATAAACATAATGTATGAATTTGCTGAAGATAGAGCAAAGAACATGTGTGCTGTCAGTAGGTATGTTTGTGCGTGTTAGGGTATCTGTATTCAGAAAAGTGTGTGTAGGGGGATTAGCCCTCTTTCATTTGTATTAAACTGTGCTGGGGATGTCTATGTTTTATGTAGTTAAATTCTGTTTAATGCTAGAAGATTGAGTTAAGAAATTTTAAGAAATGTCACATTTCTTAATTTTGTAAGCAAAACTTAATGTTTTTTTTCAAAAGCAAAAAGCAAGTATTGCATTAAATGTTGCAAAATTGCAAGTAGGTATTTCACACTGGGCCCTCACTTTGTCCCTAGTACAAATGCTGCTGCTTTAGGCTTCTGCCGTGCACTGACAGACCTAAGTCACCAGTTTTCCAAGTGAACGTACTTTTCAAAACAGAATGTATTTATAGGAAATTAAAAGCTTCTGAAAGACAGTTAAGGAAAAATAATTCAGAAGAATGATTTTTTTTCTTGGCTTCTTTCAGGTACTAAATTTGGGATTTGTATTTTCCTTTTATGGCTGTTAAAACCTGGAACAGGTGCATCCATTGTCCAAAAAGGCTATCTCTACAGAAGTATGTTCTTAATTTTGCTGTTTCTTTTAGTTCATTTTTTCTTTTTCTAGCTTGAATTATCTGTCCTTAAACTTAATGCTAAATTTGGCTCTCTGCTGCCTGGAGTAAAGTAATGGGATGCTAGCAACAACCCATATTATCCTGTTGTTTTTTGGCATATTCCAGATGTGTAGTACTAAGATACCTGACTGCACGCAGCTGATGCTTCAGAATCAGTTATGTGCAACTCTTACGTGTTTCACAGTAGCATGGTGTAGCTTTATTGATGCTTTGAACTGCCCTGTCCCCTTTTTTTTTCCTGATCATTTCAAAGCTGATGGATTGGTCAGGTGCGGTCCCAGCCTATCCATGTGAGTCAGCAATTCTGCCTACTTATAGCTGTGTATGTCATAGGTGAAGGAGCTACTGTTCCTATCTCTTCTGGGACTGTTTTCGGATTGGCAAGGTAGCTTCTTGAATCCGATTTCACATTTGCGCACTTATCTGTGAATTGCTTTTACTGGTATTTTGAGCTTTGAGAGTGCTGACCAGGAATACTCAAACTGACTCAGCTAAGGCATTGCCTGAATGTAAGCAAAATGTTACTGGCACTGTAGTGGCCCTAGAAGTAGTTTAGCTGTATTTGCACATCATCCAGCCAAGCCAGTAGCCAGGATGAGTGACCCACAATCTGGTAAATCACCTGTGAGAACTGGAAGTTGAGCACTGAACTATGAGTATAAAACGGAGAAGAAACTGACTGGAGACTCTGGATTTTCTGCCTCTTTTTTTCCTTTCCCCTGTAGTGGTGAAGAGCATTTATGTATTTGAATTCTAGAAATGTATTGCTTTTTCTTGTATAAGAAGCATGTAAGTAATTCAGAATATTTTGCAACAGCAATTAGCATTAACATTAGTGAGAAGTAGTAACAGTTGTTTTAGAAGTGGATGTCTAGCTGTGAACTCATTATAATTTCACTGTTTTAATGGAAATCCTTCCAAGCTTAGAAGACTGATACTTAATGCTTGGACAAACCAATTTTTTTTCAGTTTGTCTTTTGACAGCTGTGCAAAGTTTTAGTTAAAGCTGGTTTTGACAGGAAAGGATAGAAAAAAGCATCTCATGTTTGCAGGCAGAAGAAATCCTTGTCTCTTGGAAACTCAAATACGACTGAAGAATATCTCCATGTTAGCTTCAGAGCGATAAATTATTATAAGCAACTGTCGTGGTTGGAGAGCATGACCTATATTTAAGATTGTCTAATCCTTTCCACTGTGTGATCCGGTTTACTGTTGCATTTTACTTTGTTAAATGTAAACAATTCTGAATTATGTTTTCTGAGCTAGTAGTTTGCTGAAAGTTGAATGAATCTTAGGAAGTTAAAGATACTTTTAATATCTTTATGGATATTAATCTAGTTCAATATATTGCATTGCTCTGGGTGTGTAGGAGGAGAGGAGAGGGCTCTTTTGGCTTTGTTTCTGTTTCAATAACCATTTTATGGAAAAACTCTTGATTCTTCCTGCCTTTAGGAAGGAAATAAAAAAATTGTCTATGGATGGTCATTCCCATTATCAGGGCTCTATTTTTGAGCTGATGTGCTTCTAAACTTTTATGTTGTAAACAAAAATACATATCCTTAAAACTGGTTTGGCATTTTGTATCTGGTCTTTTTATGTGTGAAAGCAGCAAATACTAGACAGTCCTTGTCTGTTAACACCGAGGGTTGAAGCAGAAAAGAGCAGCCTTTTGTTCAAAGCCATATATTGTGAATAATCAGAGGTTTTCACAGCAAGTAAATAGCCTTGGATGATGGTGTCCTGACTCTGTGAAGAAAGGAGTTGTTTCCCATTACTGCTTATCAGTCATAGCTATGAAGTTAGTTAATGTACACTTCTCACTATGTAGCAAACTTCTGATGAATATCTGTCATGCTGGATTGCGCTACTAGGAGATGTACATGCAAGTAAAAAGAATAGAGTTATTACTGCATCCTGGGCGAAAGTTGTTGCAGAACTCTGCTACTTGTGTACTGTGGCTGTTTTGGCGGTTAGATATTAATAAAGTTACAAAGCTGTGTTAAATTTGAGAACCCAGCTGGATTTTTGCTTAAGCATTTGTAATACTTCTGATATATTATTTCTCTGAGTTAATGCAGTGAATGAAGGAAGTCTACATTTTTTCGAAATCTGCTGTTTTAAGTGGCAAAATTGCTGCACGCCCTTTCTCAGTGGGTAGGATTTCTTTGTTTAATGGAAAATAAAAAGATTTGATTCAGCAGGCATATGGTGATGAATATAGTAAGTATTTGGTTAAGCATCTGTTATGCTTCCATAAAGGTAGTCAAGTATATTAAATTTTTTGCCCTGGAAAGAAAAATTTAATGAGAGCTACCGTATTTGTATATCATATGTATTTCCTGTGTAACTTCACCTGCAGGTGTCTGCTGTATTTTGTGCTAGTAAAACTAGGTATATAGTGACCATTGCAAAGAAAAAGCTGTTATCTTTTAAGCATTTTGGATATTACTTTATGTTTTGGGGGGCCTTTTTATTTTTTCTTATATGTGATTGCCTTTTCTGGTGTAATATATACTTAAAATCCGATGAAAATTTAAAGTGGCATTTTCTTATGGAAAAATAATGTATTTTTATATGGCTTAAAACTGCAGAATATATTTCTGATAACTTTTTTTTTTTGGCAGTTGTACTCGCTAAATGATTATAAGCCACCCATTTCTAAAGCTAAAATGACACAGATCACCAAGGCAGCAATCAAGGCTATAAAGGTAAGAGATTGGCTAACTTCTTTTGACTTCTTTTCCATTTCTCATTTGTGTCAAAATAACTGAATAGCTTAAAGAACTTTCTGCAGGACTTTCCACCTCCCTCGTTCTGTGTACAGTTTCCAAGTTATGATCAAATGTGATAGTGATGGGATTATCAGGAGCGCAACAGAAGGTTTAATTTATTGTGTGACTTTCATTACCTGGTTGTCATATGTGAGAGAGAATTATACCAACTTGACTCCTCAATCAGATCTCAAAGACAGGGCTGCTTTTCCCTCAGTTTAAAAAGGAAACACTGACATTGCCTGAGAACAGATGAATAAATATAAAACTACAAGCCGCCCCCTCCCTCCCCCCTGAAAATATAAGATATGTGTGCCTTTGGATCAATACAATTGCTTAAGTTTTATTTTGTTTTTATAAATTCTTAGCATACATCTTCATGGGTGTTGTTCATAGATTCTATTTTTGATGTTGCTTGGATACAAATTGTTCTTAAGTTTTAGCATTAGTACACTAATTAAAGGCTTTTCTTGCCACAAAGTAAAACTAATTGCCAAACAGCAATGGAACAGCAGCAAACAGCACTGAAAAATGATGAAGAAAAGAAGTATGCCATTAGTGTTAAGCATTAAAACAAATGGAAACTTAGTGAAGGCTGGAGAGGTGAAAAGGGGGATAGGATAAAAGTTAAAAAGCCTTGAACTTATGGTCTTCTGTCTGCATTCCTCTGCTGAGAATGCAGATACATTTTCAGATAATGAAATCCATATTGGGATTTTGTGTCATTTGGAGAGAGAGCAATTTGACAGAAGAGTGAAATTCACAGGCTTTCTTAAATATGAGAAGTCTATGTAAATTAGAGTCTATGTTTTGCAGTATAATGAAAATGCTAAAAACTTGTGTTGAACATAAAAAAGTACTAAATGATACTAAATGGTTCTAAAAATTAAACAATTAAATGATACCAAAATGTTTTATCATGTGTTTAACTTGGAAATCCTGCTTCCACTCTTATCATTTCAGTAACAGCATTTAATTGTGTAGAGCAGTTACTGAGATGATTTAGAGCCATTGTGATGATATGTGAGATGTAAAAAAAAGAAAACAGGCCAATTTTAAAGAAAAAGTATTCAGTAGATGTTATAAGGTCTTCCTATACTAATTTTTTTAGGTTATTAAAGTGAACACTTGGAAGATAAATGAAATACGGAGAAGTGCTATGCTTGGTAACATTAGGCTAACATCTTCAGTGATGTACAATGAAATAATGATATGTTTTTGAAGGAACAATTATATTATTCTTTTAGCTCTCACTAAATAAGAACACATTATTTTGAAAAATCCAGTGTAAAAAAACCTTCAGAAGGCAAGAAAAAGTGAGATTAGCTTTTTTATAGGCTGTTAAATGTTCTAAGGAAGACAGCGTACTCAGCTGTAGGTATTGGATTGCTGGTTAATCAACCAAAGTTTCTAATTCTGTTTTTACTATCAATATTGCATGACTTTAACAAGTATATGTGTCTTTGGATTTTTTCCTCCACTGAAATATTATTTTATTTTCCAGTTCTACAAGCACGTTGTGCAGAGTGTTGAGAAATTCATTCAGAAGGTAAGTCAGTCACAGATATTTTGTGTTACCACTGAGAAAAATTTCCTCATTTTGGATTACAGAGTATTGAAGACCATTGGGTCTTAGGTACACATATGAATTAATATTTTTATTGCACATTAGTTTATTTTAGTTTTTAGTCACATTCAGTTTCTGCTAGTAATCAGTAGCTGGCCATAACCCATGATGCACAAAGACAAATACTCTGTCCCCGTGTTGTAGTTATGATTATACTTTGATCTGAATGACTGTTGATACTGTCTTAGGACTACTCTGTCTGTATTAATTTAATGTTAAAAGAGGCTGTCAGTGTAGCCCATGTCAACAGCTAACAGCAAAAGAATTGACAGTGGTTTGGCAAGTGACAGTTGCTTTTGCTTTTCTGCCAGGTTTTCCCATAGGTTTTAAAGCTGAAGGGAAAGATGACCATTCAGCCTCATCTTTTGTGTAGCATGAGATGTAGCATTTCAGTTGGTGGTTCCTGCTAGTAATTTAAAATAAAAAAAAATTTATATGGCTAGACTGGAATTACTTTGTGGGAAGATGCAGTATTAATTTAAAGATTCTGAATAACAAAGAATTTGACTGCATTTTGTTTTCTTGCAACAATTAATTATTCTTGGGTATAACTGCATTTTATCTCCAGTTGGAAATGCATGGATTCCAATTTGTGAGTCTTTCCTCCTTGTCTGCATCATACTTGACAGATCAGTTGATCATTTTGGTACTGAATTTCTTCTCCTTCTGTAAATAGGAGTAAGTTATGATCAAATTGCATTTGTATTTTGACAAACAAGCCAAAGAAGTTAGCCTGTTAATGTTGCAACTTTGGATGCAATTTGTCTTCTGTTGTCCATTTTCCAAAGCAGTCTAGATTGCTCTGTGTCAGTAAGCCGTCCTCCTCATTACCTTTTAGTCCTTGGTGCCCAGTGTATACTGCAGTGCCTTTTGGCAGTGGTTGGACAGTGTAAATGGGGTTCAGCTTCAGCCTGGTGTGTTAAACTGTCTCAGGACAGTTCATGAATGAATTATTTAGGTACTACAACATCAATCCTATGTGGAAAAGGTATCATATGTATGTTTCATGGCACTAGCAAAGACTAGTAGTATACTTTACTATCACTGCCAGTGTTTTGTCAAGTAGTTGTCTTTCGGGGCATCACCTCTGACTTCTTTCCACTCCTAAGAAAAGGGATTGATATCCTCTGATCCCTGCTTAATACTACAGGTGGACATAGGAGGATGAGAACAGGTGTACATCTTGCCCATCTCTGGTCAGTAGCACGTTGCAGTTTTATGTCCCAAAATCAATCCTGAATTGCCCAAGTTCCAAATACTGCTTTTTAATTGCAGTGGCTGTGATTGGCAATTCTGTATTCAGTGGCATGAGGGAAGATATATCTTCTGAATGAAAGCTGGTAGTTTGTCAGGAATTGGACTGCTTGTTCATGACCCTTCCACAAGCTGCTAAGAATATGGTTTATCTTCACGTATTTGCATTCGGTGTCCAGTACTACTTCATAAGGGAGTTCTGCACTGTTCATTGCTGGCTAGGGAAGGCAGATGTATGTTGTTATTGATAATCTTGTTAACAATCAGTCTGGATTAGATGTTTCACTTTGGTGGGCTTGATGTGGTTTTTTTCAGTATTTCATGAACGATATAGTGAAACATGCAAAGTATTAAGTCAAATAGTAAGTTCTTATTTTAGTAGAATCAGAGCTAAGCAGTTGAAAGCTTTTTTCTAGCCGTTTGAAAATTATGGACTTAAGTTGTATGTTTGGAAGATAGTTGGATTACTTTCCTGGTTGCACTAGTCTGGTGCAATTACTTTGCAATTAAAAGGCAAAAAATTTAGCTTCAATTGTTAAGTAAGTAAAATTACCTAAGTAATTAGTATAGTAGTTAGCAGACATGCTTTATAAATACCATGCTGTTTGTAAATTATGCAAGTTTTCACAATTTTAAAATAAGTATCACTGGTGTATTCTCAACCAAACAGATGTCCACATAAATATGTTCTTGTTCTGGTGGGAGCAGGATATATCACATGCTACTTACAACAATGTAAAATAAAGTAGACAAATGTTAACTTTAATGTTGACTTTGAGCATAAAGAAGGACAAAAATACTTTGAATTATATTTACAGCTAGTCCCAATGTACTATTAAGAATTGGGTCATGCTTTATGCTGTTCTCTTAAAATAGGTGTGTGCATTTAAAAGGATATGTGGTTCATGTGCTAGTTTTTAATAGCTATATTCTAAAAAGTGGTTTTAGTGGTAGTAAATTGATTTTAAACCATTTACATATTTGCAGAATACATATAGATGTGATAATTCGAACATTAGTTAGCTATTTTTGAGAGTTTCATTTTTCAGGACAATTTGTTAAATAGAGAACATTTTGGTAATACTTTGATCAATTTAAAAATTAGAGAGTAATGTTCATGTTTACTCTGCCATTAGTGTTTTTTGATATTTTTCACATATGCACATTTTAAACTATTATTCTTTGTAGTGTAAACCAGAATACAAGGTACCTGGTCTGTATGTCATTGACTCCATTGTGAGACAGTCCCGGCATCAGTTTGGGCAAGAAAAGGATGTGTTTGCTCCAAGATTCAGCAATAACATCATCAGCACTTTCCAGAACTTGTACCGTTGTCCTGGGGATGACAAGGTAAACCAATTAGTATAGGTTTTTTTCTAATTAAAACAATCTTTAATATGTTATCTATAAAGAATAAAGATTTTGATTTCACTTTTTGCTTGCTAGAGTGGATCTAATTATAGACTTACACATTTATGTGTATTTCTTTTAATTTTGCTTGTCTGAGTTTAGGGATAGGGGAAGACACATCCAATTAGATTAATCAGAATTTTGAAAAGGTTTTCATGAAGACTGGGTGGATTTGAGTTAATGTATTTTGATGGGGAAAAAAATTAAGCGGGCATTTGGCAGGACAGGGAGTTGTACTCAGTCTTTTATTGTCTTCTTTTCCTCTTCAGTGAGAAAATGAACAAGCAGGTTTTGTATAGTGTCAAGGAATAAATAATCTTTCTTGGCAGCAGTAACTTCAGTGCAAACTAGTGTGTTTTGGACTGAAGGAGCAATAGAAAAACAGCGAAGTATCTTAAAAGTTATTTTTCCTTTGATACTGAATCAACCAACAGCTGAGTAGGGCCTAACTTGAACAGTTTGACCCAATAGTTCAGCTGTTCCCTTGGACCATAGTAGTCAAGATTGTTACCAAATTATCTTTATAACAGGTTGGCTGGAAATAGCAGAGGGTGCAGACAGTTTAATTTCCTTAATGCTCGTCACTGATCTCATAATCGCTAGGGTTTCTTCTTATTGAATTGAAAAATTACAAAAAGGTGTGAAATTCTAAGGGCTTTATATCCACATAAATTTGTGTAACAGAGTCATTAAGTCAAATAGTAAGTGAGGCAGGACACTGCAGAAAGAGAAAGATTATTCTTTGAATAGTCGCATGCCATCCTACAGCTGTATTTTTCAACCAAAGATCTGAAAACCCAAGGCATCCATGGAAGGTGATTAAAGGCAAGTTCAGCCATTGCATGTCTCCTGTAGTTGTATTAGGATTCCTGCCTTTTCAGAGGAGTTAGGACCTCTGCAGAAGATATGTCAGGATCTGCAAATTTTAAATGATTGGAAAACTCTGCTATGGATGTCTGTCTTCTCTTCTGCAACTGAGTTCTGAGGTGGTATGGAACAGGTTATTTAGGTTAAATGACATTTTTCCAGTCTGGTTTTAGGTTATCTGCATGATAAACTTGTGCTGTTTCACAGTGTTTTACATATATATAGGCATGATAGTTAATTTATATTTTTCTTCATTTAGCTGTATTCCTTAAGCAGTATTGGTTTGTTTGTATAATAATGTAGCTTACTACTCTGGGAAATACTAACATGGAAATAGTCTGACTGTTGAAGAAGAGCTGGCACAAGGATGGGTGCAAGTACTCTGTGTCTGGCTTTAAAAAGATATAGTAAATGTAGGGTAAGAAATAGTGCCACTTATTCTGTGATATTTCAATGCATGACAACTAATGTATCACATTAGAGGTGTTTGATGTGAAGAGGGATAGTAAAACATAGTCTGTTTATGATCTGTAAAGCTCCTTTCAGGTTCATTTCTAGGATATTTTTCACCTCAGTTAGGGAAAATGTATTTTTCAGTCTGAAGTCTTGCTGCTATGTTGCATATGGATTCAGTATTACAGGAAAGTCTTTGTGCTGTGAAAATAGTTACCATATATCTGACTGAGCAAAAAATTGTGCTGTCAAAGATACCAACATTATGTACCTGTTTTCTAGCATTTTGATGTTTAATCTGATTAAAAGGCATAATGGAGAAACACAACAGGTTTTTTGTTTGCTTGCTTGCTTGTTTTTTGAAAAATCAAGCAGAAGTATAGTAGCAGTTAATTTAAAGTAGAACCCCTCCACACACTGATTCCTTCATCTGGCTCAGCCATGGATGATGCAAGGGGGAGATAGATACTGAGAAATAGTTTTGTATTCCAGTTCCGAATAGAAGAGGGAAGTTAGAGCCTCTGATAGACTTGTCGGGGACTGCCTTACAAAACAAACTTTCAAAGAAGGCTCGCATACTGTAATGCTGAATGAAAGCCTTCAGAGATTTCTTTAAAGGAACACTAAATTACATCTTCCATGCAGTGAAAATTCAGCACTTCTGTCTATTAGTATCCTCTTGGAATTCTGGACAAGCAGACATTTTTTTTCTTTGGTTTAAACATGGTGTGGTTAAGTACTTTATGTTCCTGTTTTATAAAATTTAAATAATTCAACCATCTTCATGGCAGAAAGCACAAGATCCTGTGAAGAACTTTTTTGTTCTTTATAATACAACTAACTTTTTTTTTTTTTTTTTTTTTTAAATTAGCAAGGTGTCTTTTTGCACCACATACATTACTATCCAGTTTTTCAGGATCAAGCAAAATCTTGCCTCTGGGTAGAAGTGAAGCATAGAAAAGAAAAGATTTGGGAGCAGATTAAAACATTGGAATAGAAATGTATTTGCAAGCTGAACAATGAGTTACATCTGATGGAATTGTATAAAGTCTTAATTTTTATTTTTTTCCTTCCCTGTGATCCACATTTTTAATATTTCTAATTTCAACAGGCAGGGAATTGTGTTCCAGTTTAAATTCCTCACTTCATCAAGAGAGCTTACAAAATATCAAGCTACTTTCCTAATAAAATATTTAATATTTAGCAGTCTTATTAGTATATGCCCATTTTTCAGTGGACATAAGTAATTTCGGTTCGTAGGTAGATCAGAGTTGCATTCATATATGTTGACTATAAAAGTTTAGGAGACTAATAATTCCTTGCTTCAATTATTAGTAATGCTTTAAAATTTTTCTTAAAATAATTTACCTTCCATACTGTCTTCCAAGAGTAAAGGTATAAAAGTGTCAGATACGTTTGTTTTGTTTTGTTTTGTTTTACTATATTTCATTTTCTGTTTTACTATATTTAATTTTTCTGTTGAGAGAAGACTGTCACTGTGCATAGTGTGCCTTTACTGTTGCCTAGGCATCTTACGTAGATCAACCTCAGGTTCATAGGTTAGATATCTTTGGTGTGACCCAGTGTAACTGTTCTTATGGTTCTTACTCTTTGTAGACCTAAAGGTGCTTCGATCTAGACAGATTGACATTGCTTGTTAAGAATCCATAATTGAAAATAACAAGAAAAAGCATGATTCAGGTCTTTTGTTATCCTTTCTTCATTTTAGAGTAAAATTGTTAGAGTGCTAAATTTGTGGCAGAAGAATAATGTGTTCAAGAGTGAAATTATTCAGCCTCTCTTGGATATGGCAGCAGGAATTCCTCCTCCAGTTGTGACCCCTGTCTTGCCCAGCACTACAGCTGCTATGAGCAACAATACACCAGGTAAACAAAAATAGGTTAAAATCATACGTTGAATCAAAACACTTGTGTCAGCTTTGGTATGTTGGCTGTTAATATGCTGAAAAATCTCACTGATTTCCTTTAGACAAATCGACTGAATGCTAGGAAGAAATATATTATAGCCAGTGTCCAGATCAGGGAAGTAGCAAAACCAAGAGGCAGCCTGTTGTGTTTACTTTCCAACTGTATATTATAAATATATTTAGATCGAGTAACAGTGTAATAAGACCTAGTTTTGCACTGGAAAGTCAAAACAGTAGATTGCTGACAGTTAAAAACCCAGTACACCACTTAATAACAATCTTTGTTAATTAGTGGTGCTGCAATTGGGAGAAATGATACATCAGTATTTTTTTGCTATCCATAGGATTGAGGTTGCTGGATCATGTCAGACAGTGGTCCTTCACTTTTGCTGGCTGACAGGCAATGATTTTGAGGGGAAAAAGCCACATTGACAATATAAGCTGCAGCCAGTGACATACTTCCCTCTCCTTCAGATCTGAAGTATGTGGGCCAGAAATGAGGCTGGAGAGTCATGTGGGCAAAAAACTGCTCATGGAGTATGTCCCCAGTTAACAAACACTAATGTTATTATACATGCAGGCTTGATCATTTTGTGCTCTAAAGCATTTTCCTTATTTATGTAGGTAGATGGCAGGGAACTGTCTTTTCAGCTTTTTTTGTGGAGACTTTTTCATTCAAGATTGGGAGGTATGGGAAATTTTATGTGTAGAAATTTTTTTTTTGGCACGTATAGACCTGCTTTTGTCACCCACCTTTTGCTGATCCCATGCTGAAAAGCAGTGAGGGGGACAAATCCACCTTATTTTTCATTGCTGTCTGTAAATATGTGAAAGTTCCAGTGCTTGGATTGGTTTTACTGCATCTTCTAGCTCAATATTTTTTATTTTCATTAATTTGATTATTTTAAATTGTTGAAATCATATCTCTACTCTTAATACTCCTTTGAATTCTGATGCAAATTGTCTTTTAAAACAGTAATCTAGGCATTTACATTTAGTGTTCATCAGCATATCTCTACTTTTGAGCTAAAAGTAGGAGTATTTTCAGGGTTGGAGGATTCTTCTGGATTATGGCAAGAAACTAATTATCAGATTGCTCATTTAGTCTCAGTGTTCCTCTTGGAAAAAAAAAATTACAAAACGGGCAGTCCTCATGAATCCAGCTGTTGAAGGTTGAAATTTTTAGTAGAATTCTTAAGGTTTTTCCTGGGGATAAAGTGCAAGTCCTGTAAGTTCTGGACTAGCAGATGTTTCTGAGTAGATTGCTAACAATTATCATTTGATATATTTTATTTCCTCTGAATGGTTTGGATTACTGTGTGAAACCTATTTATTTTGCATTTGTCAGTGTCTTTATTAGTAAGTAGTTCCTATAGGTCAATAGTGGATAGAGCTGTGAACTACACTTAAACTAAGTAATCCTGCTACTTGAGGAATGTTGATGTGAGTCTGCGTTATTTCTCTGTGCTCTATGTGTGCGTCAGAAAAATAGTTTAAATTGATGTTAATACAGTGCTTTCTCAGTATTTAATAACTGGGTTTGATGTCCTAGGAAGATTATAGTATCTTTATAATTTGATTTCTTGCAATCTAGAAGTCTTTGCTGTAGAAAACAAACTGGAACGTTCATGTCTGGTGTATAATTTCTTTTTACAGCAGGGTTTTGTTTTGTTTTTTTTTTTCTTTCTCTAACACTATTCCTAACTCTGTATGTTAAAATATTTTGGCATACTGGATTTTCTCTTTTTTAGGAACACCTGTGACTCCAGTTACTCCAGCCAATGTGGTACAGAGTTTACCTGATCCTTGGGTATCCCAGATTGCTAATACAGATACCCTTGCTGCTGTTGCGCAGATTTTACAGAGTCCTCAAGGCCAACAGGTAAGTATTTTGTAGACGGTTACACTGTTTGATACTTTGTGTCTTTGAGGTACCCTTAAGAAATACTGCTTTCATGAGTATCTCTTAGTTTTGTGTCCAGTACCCATGTTAACTATCCCATGAGGTTGTTCATCACAAGTAAGTTCCAGGTAAACTAAAACTTCCTGTTACCTTTTGTAACCAACCCTGCTTGTTCCTTAAGAGCACTGCAAAATGTGACTTCAGATAAGATGGTGTGTAATAGATAGTTTTCTATATAGTATTTCACATGACTAAATCAAGAGCAGCATTAAGATTTCGTGGATATAGGTATAAAATAGAATGCCAGTTTAAGCATATTTCTCTGCTGGATGCCCCAAGAAGCTAAACATTGTACAGAATTGTATAATGGAAAAGTACTCATTCTGGAAGTGCATTGTGTGTTAATTCTTTTCTTTATCTTTTCATCAACTAAATATAGTTTTTATTTTGCAGCATTCAAAAATGAGGTCCTAGAAGTGACTGTGTTCCTCAATTTCTAAATGCTCAACTCCAAAAAAACTGGGTTGATGTGCAGCAAACATTGAACTGCTTGTCCTTTTAACCTGCAACCACATAAGTTGAGCACGCACAGTCAGCTTTCTGTAAAAATGTAGATCATTGTTTTTTCAGTTTATGCTAGAACTCTGGCACCAGCATAACTTTGGCATTATGATTTTTATTTGGACTGAGAAATAGGATGCTTTACCTGCTGGGGTACTAGACAAAAACCCCATGCATATGAATGAGAAACAGTCACCAGTGAGCTGTTACAAAGCACTGATGCTGATAACAACAACAACTTTACTTAGTGAGATTGTTTTACAGTGTTCAACTAAGCAGAGTTGTCTGTAGTTGTTCATAAGTCAAGCGAATGGAGTATTATCATCTGATGACACCAAAAAAATAGTGATGGGAGGAAAGATAGTGTAATAGCTATTAAGGAAGGAAGGTGAAGTGAGAATGGGAAAATATAGAAAGTCAGTAAGGTAATTTTAAAGATTATTACCTAGAGAGTATTCTTTAAAAAAAAAGGGGGGGGTGGGGAGAGGACAAAGCAAAAGAAAAAGATTGTGAAGATGAGAAGGGAATTAGACTAGATCCCAAAGAAATGACATTTGGATATTTAGCTCAAGATGGTAAAATGAGGAAGAGAATGGATTTGGGGAGAGGGAAAAGATGGTCTTAAGCAGAAGTGTGGAGCCAGACTGGGAACGCAATACGTACATGCAGATCTCTAGGATTGGTAGATGAACTTCAACATTTGCTTCCATCCTGTCTATCTCTATTCTTCCTGTTCTCCATGCCCCCCACCCCAAGCACCAAAAGTCCTTGATTTCATATTGTGTTTTATGGGTGAGAATGCATGCAGGTAAATTGAGAGTCTAGACATAGGAGAGGGCAGAGTAAGAAAGGTGTGACCAACAGGAATGTGAAAACAGCTAGAACGGTGACCACCCAGGATTTTCCCACTCTAGGGCTTCCATCTCTGCTTCTTCAGTTTGATTCCTTCCTGCTCTGAGCAACGCACGAGGTAGAGCAGCCATATTTGCTCATCTTTTGTGTATTGGCCAAGAAGGGAGGGGGAGGCTCTTCAGCTTTGCCTGTTGCAGTAATCAGTGAAAGCTCTTGGTGAGGTGGAACAATAACTGAAGCATTTTCAGAGGCTCTGCTGTATAAGGAGTCTGTATAACTGTTTTTAAAGAATAGGAAGAGTTGTTTCACATTATCAGAAGGTAACTGTAAAACAATCTTGAAAAAGAATACATTTTTAATGCATTGTGGAAAAGAAGATCAACCTAATCAGCTTATGTAGGGTTTCTAGTGTGCCCTAGTAAGAAGGAAGTGATTGAACCCTGTAAGAGTTCAGTGGTGAACCCCATGAGGAGGTGGAATATGAATGTAAAGATAATCAGGGACTTAGGTCAGCATAGTTTGGACTACCTTGATTTGCTCAATCTTTTTTCCAGAAATACCCAAAGGTAACGCTCCAGGGGTTTACCTCATGGATGGTCAAAGGACTGCTCTCTCTAATTCCATGGTACTTCAGGAGGGCTTCTTTCCATAGGGATAGTATTTTTTCCTTTTGTGTTAAGGTAAATCTGTACCATTTTATGGGAGCATCTCTATTCAAACAGATGAATAGGTCTGCAAATGAAAAAGCCTTTTATTTCCTCATTGGGACAGCTCCTTTAAAAACATTACATACAAATGGGAAGTTGGAGTAAGGAAAACAAGTTATACCAGGCAATTGGATTGTACACTTGTTCTAAAATAACTCTGGAAGATACTCTATTTTTCTTTATTTTCCTCCTCTAGATGTGAAGAAAGAGACTCTTAGGGTATCCTGATAGACTCTGATTAAATGTCTCGGGTCCATTCACTACTCTTTTGAAAGTTCCTTCTCTGATGATACTTAGTACTCATTCCACTGTAATCCTAGACCTCTCCTGGGTTGCGGAGTGGAGTTGTTTAAACAAACCACCCCAACCACCACACCACCCCCAAAACTTTTAAAATCATATTTGAAACACCCAACACTATTTTTAAATAATATTTTTTAACATCTGTCTTTTGGCATTACCCATACTTCATTTTTATTGTAACATACTTTGTTGTTACTGTACGTCTGTTGCCCCAGAGCTGCTGCTTCTGGTTCAACATTGCATCTAGGCAATTTTTATCCTAAGATAGAGCTATACAGAGCCCAGAGTCTGTGCCATTGCAGGAAGTCAAGTTATATTCCCAATTCCTGGTTAATTTGTTTTTTATGTTTTGTTAACATAGCAAGGGAATTGCATTCTATCAGCGCAAACCTGAGTTTCAGCATGAGATTTTCCTTGTGACTAATCCAGAGACACTAGTGCAATCTCTTCATGTAGACGTGTTGCATCAGCTTAGTGGAGCTTGCAACAGTGCAGTTATTGTCTCTCTGCAAATGTTGTTACAGCAGACAGATTTTCCTAATATAGGTGGGCCCTTAGGAAGCTGGAGTAGGCTAACAGATTTTTTTCAGGTCAGAAGGAATCAAACTGGAGAAACAGAAGAGGGGGAACCCTAGAAAGCAGGAAATCCTGAGTGGTGACTGGTCATCATGCAACCTGTCAGAGCAAGTTAGGAGGAAGAAGCATCTGCATGTCTTATCAGCCACAGAAAACAAATTAGCCAGTAAGTGGGAACAAAATTTGCCATAAATGAAAACAAATTAAGATGAAATAATAGCCATAGGTTAGATGATACTGCGTTCCTGAGGGATTTTTTTTTCCTAACTGGAAGGGGAAAAGACTAGTTTGGCTTTTTTTTTTTTCCAAAAAATTTTCTTGTTTAATGCATTTGTTGTGTTTTCTCTTTTAGCTTCAGCAGTTGATACAGACACTGCAGATACAGCAGCAGAAGCCTCAGCCTTCACTACTTCAAGCCCTGGATGCTGGTCTTGTTGTTCAGTTACAGGCCCTCACAGCACAGCTTACAGCTGCAGCTGCTGCTGCTAACACACTTAATCCACTGGAACAGAGTGTCTCTTTTAATAAGGTAGAAGTAGAATAATAGAAGTTTGAAGATATATTTATTGTTAAAATATATGTAAGTGAAAGAGTCTTCTTTTGGATTTTGCGGTTTGACTTCAGAGATTTTAAAAATACATTAATATATTATATAAAAGTGTTCTATCTTGAAAATAAAAAAATGTCTAGAGAAGGTAGTATAAATGAAAAAATTAGTTTTATATGAGTTTAGGGCTAAATGGCATTTCATAGAATACCTCATGTTGGAAGGGACCCATAAGGGTCATCGAGTATGAAGATGGATTTGATTTAGCAAGGTTAAGCCATTGTTATATGTTTTTCTTCACCCTTTGTAACACAGTGGTGAGAATTGAGCATGTCTTGTATTTCCCCTTCTTGTGTTTATGATCTGAGGTAGGAAATGATTTCTTACCAGTTAATGAAAGGGAAACATGCAGAAATTTATATATGCTGTTTTCCCAAAAGAGTAAAACGTGATTGAACTTGTAGTTTTCTTACATTGTAAGTGCCAAGAAAATTTCTAATCTTAGCCACAAAGTGACAGTAAGTGAAGAAATAAGTTTATGACTGTACTTAAAACTAGTCATGTGACACCTTTTAAAGGATGTCAAAATGTAAAAAAGAAACCCTGTAGGTAAAGAAACTTAGTGTGTGTTGCAACATACGAGCCTATCTTAAAAAAAATAAAATACAGAATGCAGGAGTTTTGAGAAGACTAATATAGTTGAATGCCAGGTAGCAATAACCATGCTGACAATTAGTAGTAGTAGTATAAGATCAGTAGAATAAAAAAAGGAAGAACTTCTACTCAGAGATTAAACAAATAAATCTTGTTCCATTATCTTTGGAAGAAGCAGCTTGTGGGTAATACCTGTAGGATTGTCCTGGAGTGAATAAATAATAAGGAAGTCAGAGAAGCGAAAAACTTTTTTTTTTTTTTTTTTTTTTCCCCCCCCAAACCCAAAAAATTTCTCTTTCAGGCAATTAGCTGCTCAGAACTTGACAAGTGCTGAGTTTGAAGTTTGACATCAATTTATCTTATATTTCTAGAATTTGCTCAGCTAAACTCAAATCTCTGAAATAAGAGAGTTGTCATTACTAATGAAGTAATGCAGCTGTAAAAATACGTCAGGAAAAAAATGGCCTGTACTCATGCTGTATCACAGCTGTAACCATCAACTTTAGTAGGGTATAATCACAGGGAATGAATGCATTAGTTAATAGGGACTGCCTTAACATTTAGATACAAAAAGTAATTAGGGGTATGAAGTATTGTGGTTTTATTTCACAGACTTCAATTCCAGCATTTATATGGATAGGTGTACTCATAGATGTGGCTGTCCTGAATGTTGGACTACTTAACTGGAGCAAATTGAAGGAAGTGGCATTCTGATGAGATGTTTATATGCCTTGAGTGAGTTCAGCCTGATGCTCTTTAGTTAGTTTATGCCAGTAATAGTATGCCGGATTCGTCTTGTCATGAAAGTTGTCAGCAGAGTGAATGTACGTGATTGTGATTTCTGGAACTTTGAAGGTAAGTGTTGTGGAAGGAATTCTTGGGGCAGTGTGATAATTTACAAGCTTTCAGTAGATTGTGTTGATTTGTTCTTGTAAGCTATGGAAGAGTTGCTATTATAGTATGTGATCGTACCTCAGTTCTGCATTATACAAGTAGTGTTAGATTATAATACATCTCAAATTCCTTGTTCAGTGTTCTGTAGCATCTGTGAATGAACTGATAATGTATATCTTGTTAGTCCATTGAGGCTTTTACTTGAAGGCTGTTTAGGCTGCTTTGCAGAAATAGCATGTTGGTTTAGAATTTCCTCATTTTATTATTTTTTTAATAAAACATTGGTGCTACCATTCCTATTTTCTCCTTTTTTTGAAGTTTGAGGATTTCTGAATGTAGGTATTATATAAGAGTATATATTAATATATATATATATATATATATATTAGTGAGCAATCTTATTTTTGCAATGATAAGTTTTGGGGACAATAATTTTCCTTGCTTTTTTTAATGGTTTCTCAGCACCAATATCACCTGCAACCCGAATCCTGCTTCTTAATAGCTGAAGACTATGAGTTGTAATGATATAGTTCTATTTATTAGACTCTTTGCTTCCATTTTATTCTATAAGTAATTGTATAATTTTTTTACTAGACACGGCAGCCTTAAACAGAGTTAAAAAGGCAATGTTTACTTTTATAGGAAGCATCTGCATCAGTGTTTTAGTTTGAATCAGGAGCATGCTTTTGATTGTTTATGTGTACCAAAAATTGTTTTGCATTGCAGAGCAATCTTGAGTGCATAAAGTAGATTTATTTGGATTAAGCTAAAGCAAAAGATACACTGCAACTCCTAATGAGCACTCAGTCAACAGGGCCAGACTGGAACTACTTCAGAGTAACTAGTAACAAAGCCCGAATAGCATGCCCAAATAAAATAATAAATCTGGTTTGTAGTTTTAAGAGGAAAATTTCTGGGTATGCTTTGCCTCCTGGCAACAAATCTAGATCTTTGTTAGTGATCCTCCAGGATGCTCTGAAGTTCTGGAGTTTTTGTATGCATTTCAGAGACCTTGCAGTAGTTTTATATTTAACACAAAATGCCTCAATTGCAGGTGACAATAGTGTTAAAGATACAAGTATCAAAAACCAAGGTGTCAGAACAGTACAATGAGCAGGAACACTAGATTAACAGCCTTTGTTTGAGTACCAGACATACAGTTGCTTGATTTCTGAGGTTCTAGTCTTTATAAGAAAACAAGTTGTTAACAAGTCTACTTAGAACAACAGAGCATGGGCCAGCAGATTGCCCTGGCAGCAGAGGGCCAACAACATAGTGGGTGGTGTGAACAGGAGAATAGCCAGGTGATTGATGGAAATGATCGTACCATCTAGACATCCTATCTATTCTAGACTGCATCTAGAGTATCACATCTAGTTTTGCTGCCCCCACCCCCATACAGGGAGGACATTGACAAACTGGAGTGAGTTCAGTGGAGGACCACCAAAATGGTCAGAGCTGGAGCACTTGGCCTGTGAAGGACTGGAGCTGGTTCAGCCTGGGGCAGAGGCAGCTTTTGGGGGAGACCTAACAGCAGCCCCTCTGGCACCTATGGAAGGTCAGCAAGGTGAAGCCAGGCTCTTCACAGCATGGCATAGCAGCAGGATTATAGACAACAGACAGAAATCAAAATGAAGGGGTTCAGCCTGGGTATAAGGAAAACCTTTTTTTCCTATAAGGACAGTCAAGCACTGGAATAGGTTGCTTGGAAAGATTATGCAGTCTCAGATGTTGGAAACTAAGATGTTTCCAAGACTCAACTGGATAAAGCCATCAGTAACCTGATTTGAGCTCACAGCTAAGCTTGCTGTTAGCAGAAAGTTGGACAGACCTGCTGAAGTCCCTTTCAACTTGGACTGTCCTGTGATACTAAGATTTATGAAGAATGGGGCAGAAGAGATACTGTCATCTAGTAGAAATTGATGAAGTATTCTTACCTGAGGTCCAGTGACCAATCCTGAACATCTTAAAAAAGCTGCAGCAGCAAAATTAGAGAATCTAGGAATTCCTGAAAGCAGTAATAAGAAATATTGAGTAGTTTCTGTAGAAGATACTGAATAGACTTGTGATGGAGTTCAGAGAATGGAGGATGGAGCCATGATGTGGATACAGAAATACTTACATAGTTGAAGGCAGTGTCCAAAAGGCAAATGTTCTGAGTTGGCAGACATTAAAAAAAGACAGCTTTTATGATAAATAAACAGTAAGCATTGAGATCCAAAGAAAACTGTGAAGCTTAGTTCTTATTCCATGATATAATGATGGTGAATTGGATAACAAATATAAATAGTGCAGGAAAATATTTCTGATGAATACATAAGTATCCATCTTCTTTAAAAAAAAAAAAAATCCCTATTTTTAATAAATTTGGCAGTTCTTCCAATCCTTTGTTTTCAAGCTCTTGAAAAGAGTTCCACAGTATCTTGTGGTAATAAGTTGCACAAATTAATATGCATTACATGAAAAATTCCTTTCTTTCTCAACATCAAATGTGCATGTTTTGTAATCTTGCTACATGACCATATCCATGTGTTATGATAAAGAAAGATTTTTTTTTTGATCAACATTTCTTACACATTTATGTTCTATTCCTTTTATTTTCATTTTAAAGAGAATATCCTGATCCTTAAGAAGAACTTTGTTTCCTTTGGAATAAAAAGGTTTTTTCATGTCTTTAATCATTCCCATTGCCTTTTCTGAACATGTTCTCTTCTTAGGTAATTAAAGTAACAGATGTAGCATTCATGGAAAGTTCTATACTTTTATATGCCTGTGTGTGGTGGGTTAACCTAGGTATCCTAATATTTAATTTGTTTTAATTTCTATTGCTTTATTGTAGGGAGTATTGTGTTACAATTTATTTAAAACCCAAGATACTTCAGTTCAGATTTTTCCTTTTAATATCTACTATGTTATTTAAAACTAATTTAAACAAAAATCATGCTGCACATTTACCAGTCTTGGCTGGAAGTTCTTTGGTTTTCTCTTCCAGATGAGACTGGTTGTTTTTCTAAAATGCATTTTTTTTTTTTCTTTTTTTTAAGTGGAGCAACATTTTGCAAATGCTTTACTTGAAAATTTTCTAACAGCATGGAAAAAAAAAAGGTGGCAGCCATCTTGCTTTAAATGGATTAGATATATATGCTGAAGGTTACTCTGGATTTTAGCATCCCGTCTCACATAAGCTTGATGGTTTATGTTTCTGCTGTGTTTTCTCAGAGATGTATTCAGTCCTGCTTTCATATATATTGGATTATTTCATTGGGAAAATAGTTCTAAAAAATCTTGATTGATCAGTCTTAGTTAGCTTATGCTTTGTTCTTCTTGCTGGACTCCAGTAATTGAGAGTGAATAGAGCATCCTGAGAAAGAAAATGGACTACTGAATCATCATGGCTTGTTACTGGAGACATTTTTGCCTTGGTATTTCAAAATGACTGCCCTGTGTTCTCATCCTCTTGTTTTTTTTCTTCTGAAACCAGGGATTGAGAAGAAGTTACAGCAGTTTGTAGTACAGCATTAACTCTGCTTTTCAGAAAACTTCCAAAGTGTAAAGATGCATGGACATGGGTTTGATAGCACTGCTCTATCAATGCATAGTTACTGAAAAAAGACAATCTCAGTGACAGTAATGTTGTATTTCTTTATGCTTGTTCTTTAGTTTTGTCTTCAAGAAAGTAAAATGCTACTGAAATGCTTCCAGGCTGTTTAAAATTAATAAACAAAACAAACTTTTTTTTTTCCAGCAGGACTACAGTGTAGACATCTTTACAGATAAAACAGGAAGATTATCAAAGTTTTTCTTTCTCCCCATCAGATACCTTTCTTTTTATCCCTCTGGAGGCTTATTCCTCTTACACGATAACTGCTTGCTTTGATTTTTTGCAGACTGTGAGAAGTTGTTTTCAAGGAGCAGTATATTTGAAGGAATTCAGGTTATCTAAATGACACATGTGTCTGAAAATACAGTAATTCTTTGCAGAGTAATCAAGCTGTAGGTCTTCTCTTGATATGAGCAGAGCAGTTTGCTGATTGCCAAAGGATTGAATAATTGGCCTCTTCATAGTAATTTCTTCTAATTAAAGGTACCATTACATAAAATTAATCTTTACTTTAAGCCTTCCTCCAAACTAGTTGTTACTTACTATGGAAAAGAACGTGTGATTGTACTTGTAACAGCATCCAGAGCTCAAGGAAGCCATGGACAAAATTTTGTATTTGATCCATTCAGGAGTTTGGTAGCAATAGCAGTATGACATTGAATTTTCTATTCAGGTTATTTGCTAAACTTTTTTTTTTCTTTTTTTTTTTTTAGTTGAGAAATAAGAGCATTTTTCTTTTGAAAAGTAAATATACATAATGGGACTTATAAGGAGTACTCAGTAATGCTTATTTTGCTTTCTCCTAGAAGCTGATGGACAGGTTTGACTTTGGGGAAGAATCTGAACAAAATGAAGAGCCTAAAAAGGAAACTCCCACTTCCCAACTGTAAGATCAAGCTATGTTTCTTATGGAAAAATGCTAAAATTTGCCTGACACTAGTTGAACATTAGGATTAAATAGTAAGGAAAATACTGTTTCTTTCAGAGCATAAGTATACTGAAACAGTAGGAAGAGAAAAGGCAGTTTACTAAGTTAATGGAACGTATACATTTAAAAAATATTCAATATAAGTCTTTGTGCCAGAAGTTTTGTTGACTTCATCTTAAAGTCAGCACGTTCTTTGCTTTGTTATATTCATAGCGTTAATATGATAATGGTGATTAACAGAAGGTGGAACTAGCTACGTTGTCTTCATTATTTTGTATTTTTAGTTAAACTTAAAACTCAATTGTGAAGACCTGTTTACGAACTATTTAAATCAAGAGAAAACTGTTGTGTTTTTTTTATTTAAATGATTTCATTTTAGGCCTTTAGTACCAGAATCTGTGAACAACTCGCTTTTTCACCAACTAGCTGAACAGCTACAGCAACAAAATTTAGAACATCTCAGACAACAGCTTCTGGAGCAACAGCAGCCTCAAAAGGTAAGAACTCCATCTTGTGGCTGTTGTAATAATTATGTTCTCCACTGATAAAAAATTCATACTCTGGGACAAAAAAAAATTGTCTTGTTACTGACACTTCTCTTATAATGAAGGTCTTTGTCACTATCTGATCATCTAATAACAGAAGCTTGCAGAGTAAGTGAAATAAGCGGATGGAAGTGCTTAAGGCAGGAAAAAAAAACAACAACCAAATGTGTGGGGTGTACATTTTGTTTCTCTTAGGAAAGAGTACCCTTTAGCCGAGGTAGACTGACATGCTTTGATTGTTCAGCGCTCTGTATGGGAGGGGAAAAAGCTTTTTCCTTGCTGTCAGGAAGGAGGTGGTGAGCACTGAAGTGATTATGCTTCTGTCTGTGAAGGGAGAGCAGCATGCAAGCTGCTGCTGCAGAACCATCAAAGAACAGAATAGAGATTGAAGATAACTTTAATTTACCCTACAAAGCTTTAAGTCTTGACTAATAAATGTCTCATCTGTTGAAGAATCTGACCTAAAGAATAGAATCACATATTTCCTGAGAAATGATTAATTAAGAACTGATGCTCAAGATGACCCAAGATTTCTTCTTAACTATGTGAATTGGGTCCTCTCTACTCTACACTGAAGTAAATTGACTTATTTCTTCTGAGGTTAGTCTTTGGTATTTAGCTGTTCTTTTCCCCTCCTGATCCCGTTAGAAAAAAACCCAAAAGTTTATTCTGTCTTGATACTGACCAGATACAAAGTGGGCTTCCTGTGAAGTATTTGGATCTAGTTTCACAGTAAAATAGAAATCTTAGATTGAAAGAAAATCTAAAGGACCACAAACTTAACAAACAACTGTTGGGGATTTTAGTTTAACTTATGCAAAGGTGCATTCGCTCAGCTTTCAGTCAAAAACGTCTTCCGAGTTCTGAATTTGTGACTTTGAGTTTTTAATTGTTTAGAAAAATAATGATTTAATTTTTACTAGGTATTATTCTACTGCTTTATTTTACTAAGTTTTATTTTCATTTCTCATTTAAGTGCAGTAACTGAGAAAATTTGTACAACATAGCTACAGACTAAATAGTTTTTGATGTTGGTGGTGATGTAGCAATTTCTGGCTTTAAACACTAAAAAATGTTGTAAAGGAATATAACTTCAAAGAGTGCATCTGTTTTAGGAGCTTTTGATGCGACGTATCTAAAAGTAACTATCTAATTTGAAAATAAAAATGCTGAATGCCTACCTTATTGTAAAATAAGCAGAATTAGAGTTTAAATTAATTTCATCTATGAAATTAAGTTACAGTACATTCATGCGTGGAATGTTCATATGACTCACCCGTTACTATTTGATCTTCTATTCCAAGTCCAGAAGTTGTTTCCTTCAGGTCCGCTCAGCTTCTTGTCTAGTCAGTGCAGAGAGGAAGTGTTATTTTCACCTTGATAGCACCTAAAAGATACAGACTTCTGTTGGAACTACTCTGTAACGTCTGCAGCATGTTACAAGGAAGATTTTCTTTAATTCCATGTTTAAGCATCAGTGAGAAAGATTAAGGGAGGAGAAGGAAAGATAAAACACAAAATTATTAAGCATCTGATTAGGAGCAGAGGGAGAGGATAAAAGGCAGAAGTAGCAACAAGAAATGTAGGAATTGATATCAACAGATTATTGAAGAATAATTAAATAAAGGGAAAATGAGACAAAATGGATGATGTTAGGAAAATGCATTAATTGAATTATAGTAGAATTTTTTTATTCTTCTGCAAACTGTCATTATAAGATGTTTAAAAATATGAACACAAAACAAAAAAACCTTGGTATTACCTGTCATTCTGCTAACTTTCTACAATTCTCCTGGCAGATAGAATATCTAGCATTTGTTTAATTAAAGTGAAAATGTAATGAGAATCACTGAAATGTTTTACCTGCAATATTGGATTATAGGTTTAAAATTACTTTTCAAAATTGTCCTGATAGCATTTCTGAGTATTTTCATTGCATTTCCTGTATTTCTTGAATTTCTTTCATATCTTACAGATATTTATTCCAAATCTGTGCTTTCAATCCAGTGTACAGGCTATTATAGTTTCTTCTTTAGCAAATCAACAATACATTTAGTATTTTACATTTTTTAGTTTTGGTGGTTTTTCAGAACTGCTTGTCTTGTTAGGTCTCATAATTGACATGCTGACGTAAATGACACAACACCCTCCCTAATCTTGTAGTAATTACTTGTCTTAAATCATACACTGTAAGAAATTTTGGAGTTAATTGTAAATTTTTTAACTAGTTCAATTGGTATTGCAAATATTTCCATTATATTAATAACAGCATATAATTTATTAATGCATGTGCATGGATGACCAATGGGTATCTTTCAGTGTTACGGTACAGATGGCTGCCAGCACTGTTGTTTGTCCTGTGAGTTTTTGTTTTCAAGCCAGCTAAATGAAGCAACAAATACTGTACTTTGGTTTTTTGATTCAGCAAATAGTAATTTTTTTTGTAGTCAGGAATATTAATTATTTCCAAGTTTTGTATTTAAGGATGATACCAAAAAAAGGAATGGAATGGAATGGAATGACATCTAGTTAAGCTTTCACATTAATGGGAAGTGGGGAAAATAAGAGAAACTTGATAAATAGTTTTTCAGAAGTATTAGAACACTTGTTTTAGGTACTGTTACCTTTTGACACAGTAAGCATTTTGAATTATGAGGCTTTTTATGATACATTATTATTTGTTATTTAGGCAAGCCCTGAGGAGAATCAAGAAGGAAATTTTGGTTCAGAGCACTCTGCCTCACCATCACAAGGGAGTAGTCAGCAGCAATTTTTAGAAGTGGAAACAAATGTAGATGATTCAATGGATATTCAACAACAGGTAAAACGTATTTTAAATTTGATTACAGAAGTTGAAAGGAAAACACATAGGAAGATGATTTAAAAATGAGTAATATGGATATATGCTTTAATATAGTCATATACATTGTGACTATATTTATTAAATGTTATCGAACATCTGTTATGTCTGACCTCAGGACATGGATATAGATGAAGGACAGGATGTCGCTGAAGAAGAGATTTTTGAACAAGAAGAAAAGAAATCAGCTGTTCGTTCAAGATCAAGAACTCGTTCAAGATCTCGTTCAAGGTTTTGTAATTAACTTGTATTAAGTAAATGAAGGTTTTCTGAAACAAAGTTGCAATTTGTGATTATCACTCTCAATTCCATATTTTCCAAAATTGTCATGACCGGTTTTTGTCAATGAAAAAAAAGAGTGTTCATTTAATATTTGTGTGTTAGATGCAGACTTTCTGTGTGACAGTTCATTTTGCATATCTGTGCTCTACTTTAATTTTTTTTTAAGACCTGTTCAGGTAACAAAAATAACTAATGCTAGCAGTTGGTCAGGTTTTCTATGCCAGAAAAATAGATACTGTTATGGAACTCTTTGTATGTGTTTTGTTTTGTTTTAAGCTCAAGGTGTATGTTCTATTCCTTGCACTACTGGCATAAAGTTTATTTCCTGAAGCAGTTTGAGTGAATATAACAGAAGTGTCTGTATCATGTTTAAAGTTTGTAGTTAAAAGATAACTAAATCAGAATTTTGGGGTTTTTTAACTCAGCATACTGAAATTAAGTATTTTGTAGGTCACCAAGGAAACGGAGGTCTAGATCACGATCTGGTTCTCGTAAGCGTAAACACAGAAAACGTTCACGCTCGAGATCAAGAGAAAGGAAGAGAAAGTCGTCTCGGTCATATTCCAGTGAAAGAAGGGCTAGGGAAAGGGAAAAAGAACGTCAGAAAAAGGGATTGCCTCCTATACGTTCAAAAACACTAAGTGGTAAGTGGCAGCTGCTTATTGTTTTGATAATGGAGTATTAAAGGGAAAAAAGGCTTTGTTTTTCATTGAAAAAACAAGATATAGCCTGAGTACTGTTATAAAATACAATAACCATAATCTTTTTTATGTTTAATTTCCAACGTTTCTTACAACTTAGGTATATCTTTCATCTTAGAGGAAAACAAGTATCATACTGTTCTACTGATGATTTTACTCATACTGTTGCGCTAATGATTTTACTTCTGAACGGCGAGTAGCAAGGGCTGTCCCTAAGTTACAATCTGCTTTTTCTTTAATGCTGTCTTCTGTGGGGCATTTGAAGATGATCAGTGCTTGACCTGAAAATTGGTACACTGATAAGACATTTTAAGTGTGTGGTACACACTTTGGACGCTTTGCTGAATATCTTAAATAGAGGCCAGTTTTGTTAAACTTTTAGAGTGCTTTTTATCACAGGAATATAGAGCCAAAGCAAGTGGAAATGTGAAACAAGTAATTTTCTATCATAAGACAGACTATAATGGTTGTATCTTAAGAAGGTATCCAAATACCAATTGGATTTCAGCTTCTGCAGAGTGCCGCTGTGCACTACTGTCGTTTCTACAGAGAATTTACATACTAAAAAGGAGGAGGATAGCAGGGAGAAGGAGAACTTTCTCCACACAGTTGCTTAAATCAAAGGGAATGTATTTTGAGAGGAGCACTTGAAACAGTGAAATTGGGTGTAGTCATCTGCTACTGTGTCAGTATATCCCATTCCTGCTCTTAGCAGGACTCTGGATTCTTGGGATGCATAATTGTACTTAATTTATTTTTGTAATGAACTTGTGTTCCCAAATTTAACTTTGTTTAGATAGTTTATACACAGTTTCTGATGTAGTTTTGCATTTATTTTGTGTTTTAAAACTATATCATTTATCTGACAAGTTAAATAGTTCAAAGTTCATTTTTGCAAAGGAAAGAATGTTCTGTTCTCTTCACATTAATATTTTACATCATTCCAAGGTGGCTTTAAGCTCAGGACTGCGCTACAGTTTAGATGTATAATTTTTTCTTCTCTGGCTTTTCACGTGAAAAGAGGCAAATCAGTTTTATGGTGTAGATTTCTCACAGTAGTTCACAAAGCAGGGAGCTATAATCAGAATGGGTGGGAACTGAGTGGAAGGGGGATGTTAAGTAACCTGATGAACAGCAGCTGCAGTTTAGGTCCTGTGAAGTGACCCAGGTCATGGAAAGGAGATGTTAAGAAGGCCAGGTAAAGTGTGGAAACTTTGGTTGGGGGGTGTAAATAAATAAATAGGTAATTCACTTGACAAACATTTTACTTCATGAAATTTTTTTCAGTGACAGCCACTGTTATCACTTGCTGAGGTCTGAAGAATTGTTTCATAGAGCTTAACACCATGAGAATCAAAAGGGCCATCTACAAGCATGTGAGGAACAAGTTTTGTCCAAGAGAAATCTTAAGGCTAGTCATTCTCAGTACTGCTGAGTACTGCTGTAAATTGAAAATGTTAGTTGTCAGAGGAATGCACAAAACTGGTTTCCAGTTTGGTACACCGAGATTGGTACAGAAAGGGATGTGTGATGTATCAAGATCATGATGAAGAAAGGATGTTTCTTGTGTTCACGTTAGGGCAGGCCCAAGAGATCCAGGTTGTCTGGTTTGGTTCTGCCTTAGATCCTTTAAGATCCTGGGTGGATTATTCACGGTATTAAGTTATTTGAGGAAAATGACCCATATTGCCCTAATCTCTTGCTTAGATCACCTTGTGTTAAGTGGAAGTAACTGCTATGACTGTGTCAAGGCTTGCACACGTAGATTGGGTAATAATTGGGAGACAAAAGAATTGGAACCATGAACATATGGGAGAAGGAAGTTTTAGCTCACGTCAGTGAGGGTTTATATTTGGCGAGGGGGTTGGGGTAGGCATTTGGGAGACAGATTGCAGGGATCAGGGCTTGTGGTGGAATTGACAAGAGTCAGAAGTATCATGGACATCTTCAGCTCAATGGTGGGCCTCAGCCATGTTTGTCTTTCTGGGATGTTCCCCAAGGTAAAGTAAAAGTATAGTTTCCATTTCTTTCAGGTGAAAATGCAGTGCATAATAACTGCAGTTAAGTTCCTTCTGTAATATGCTTCTAGCCAGTTAGAACTTAGTCCTACTTCATTAAAACTGACTTTAAATCCTAAAGGCATGTTTTTTATGGAACATGGAATAGTAATGATTTTTTTTGTGCCACCCTGCCCCCATAATTTCTACTGCAGTTTACCTTTAGCTAATAATCTACAGAATTTTATTTTTTCATTTCTTTTAAAGCAACTCTTTTGTTTAAAAGAAAATTAAAAAAGAAGAGTGAACATTTGTAGTGAATATCTGGTTGGTTTCTTTTAACCCTTAACATTTTTGTTAATGTGCTTAATCTCTATATAGTAAGTAACAGATTTACTATTCTTGCTTTTTGGTCAGTGATTTCTGTCTAATTGTAAAGCCTTTTATATCCATGCTGTAGAGTATTTCATAAGCTAACGTTCTAGTATTTGGATTGACGTGAATGTGTCTCTTGACAGTTTGCAGTACTACTCTTTGGGTAGGTCAAGTAGACAAGAAGGCTACACAGCAAGATTTAACTAACTTGTTTGAAGAATTTGGACAAATAGAGTCGATTAATGTAAGTAAGCATGTTATCATGCATTTTCAGGGATTACAGACAAGTAACTTAAACATGCTTACGCCTCTGAATTCCTTTTAGCAGCTTAAGCTTGTATTTAGGAGACTGTTTTTTATCACTGTTTAAAAACTGTGGCTATGATATTTGCTTGTTGGTTTCCATGTACTGTCTTTTGAAGCAATAAAGACAGTACATTTCATGTTAAAATGGCTTTTCCAAAGCACTAACAATTTACACAGTTTTTTAAACCAGGGTCTTAACAAATAAGTTATGCCGTTTCTCTTTTTGTTATGTGGCATGAGGCAGGTATCATTTTTCCTTGGACTAATGAACACAAACATATCCACATTGTTCTTGGTTACGTTCCATACACAGCGTTCCTTAAGTGGAATCAATGTGGATAAAACATTGAGAAGAAAAGAAATTGTACTGTAAGCAAGTGTTTATTCTAAATATGACAATTAAAAAGATGCTTATAATTTGGAGATACTTCTGTCATTATTTGGAGTAATTAAGGTTTAGATATTTAGAGTCGTACTTCACTGTTGCCTATAATTCAGCTTCAAGAGAAGGTATTTTTCTCCTAAAGTAACATATATGCATGAGAGAAATTTGGGGTTTTTGTCTTTTGCTCCAGCAGTTTTAAAGTGCTTCTCATGCAATTTAATTCATTTCAGATAGTATTTTTACTATTTTTCCTATCCCGTTAATATATTCAAATATATAATTAATAAGGAGTAGGTTTTGTGGCAAAATAGGTTTTCTTTTAAAAAGCTTCACAAGTCAAAAAAACCCCATAGCCTGACACTTAAGCCTCATTTTGATTTGCATATTTTTATAAGAACTGCATTAAAATCTGTCATCTTACACATTTTTTTCGTTATGTTATTGTGTGTTCCTAACCAACATAAAAGCACACCTATATTTTTGACTAAAACTAAAATAAGCAGTTGTCATACATGATTTGCAAACTTTCAAAGATTACATGCCACATCATACTTCTCTTTCCTAAATAAAACATTAAAGCTAGTGGAAATCACACTTCAGGAATGAGGAGTCTACCCTTCAAAAGTGCAAGGTACTTTTAATCACAGAGTTTGCACCTTGGTGAAGGGTTGTTGCTCAGCTTGCAGTGTGTGGAGCTTTATAAGAGGTCGCAACCTCTGATTTTCTGCAGTTGTCATAGTATAGCTCCCAGTTCTTGCCTGCTCCATGTTGTTGAAATCTTTCATGTCATTTTTAGCATCTATTCTTCAGCTTGCTGCTGCTTCTTGAAAATGTTATAACTGAAGTACCCTGCCAATAACAGTCTTAAGTTTTGTTGATGCTCAAAATTGTTAATGTTGCTGATTAAGGTGATGATTGTTTACAGTGTAAGCCTTTCCTTTTTTAGTATGAGTATTCACTCAGTGTAGTTACGTAATCTGAAGTACTGGTTTTCCTACTTTTTAAGACCATTGCTTTTTTTCCATAGATGATTCCCCCAAGAGGTTGTGCTTATGTCTGTATGGTTCACAGACAAGATGCATATCGTGCTCTTCAGAAACTTAGTTCTGGGTCCTATAAAATAGGATCTAAAATTATTAAGGTAAGTTGATTTTAATCTAAGGATGCTGTCTATTTCAAATGCAGTACAGTTTTAATATGATGATTTGTCATTTAGCAGCTGTTCATTCAAACGTACAACATAGGGAAGGATAATGAAGCAGTAAGATGTAAATTGTTTTCTTTCCTCTCTCTCTAAAATGCAGCTTTTAACAGGCGATATGAAAGATAGTAAAATGAAATTACGACTTGATACCTAGGAAATACTTGGAGAACATTTTACATGCGTGCTAGTAGTAAGAGTACAAGGCTGTAAACAACCTAAGTCCAGTACCTGACCATATGGATCACTTAATATTAAATTTTACAGTAATCTTAGTATATGATTAAATGTTGTGGATTTTTCTACTTTCTTTGATGCTTTAGGATGAGTCCTTGAAATACTGTATTTTTAATTTCCCCATATATATGTTAGAATTAATGTAGAACAAATTTAAGCTTTTTGATGTAATTGATCTTCCACATATGTGTTGCAGAGCCCAGGTAAACTTCCTACAGGTTCATTTAAAATTAAAAACTTTTAAAAACTTTAATAAATAGACACTGAAGATTGATCTGCAGTGACAGAAACATGAAGGAAATTATCTGAAATATTCTGTTCACAGATTATATGATTTAACCAGATTATCTGGTTGGGTTTTATTTTTAGATTGCCTGGGCTTTGAACAAAGGTGTGAAAACAGAATACAAGCAATTCTGGGATGTGGATCTGGGAGTTTCATATATTCCTTGGGAGAAAGTAAAATTGGATGATTTGGAGGGCTTTGCTGAAGGTGGCATGATTGATCAGGAAACAGTAAATACAGGTACAGATGTTAACAGTGATTCTGATAGTTAGAAAACTTATTTATTGTGGTAATTGCAAATCCTCAAAGTTTATTGTTTTAGGTAATATGTAGTCTCTTTCAATTTACATATTTTACTAGCTACTTGTTTACAATATAAATGGCACTGTAATCATGAAATCTAGATTGTCTTTGTAGATGAGTAACTAGTTGATTGTCATGACAATGAGGAATTGGTGACAAAGGAGAGTTAATTTAAGCAAGTTAATAAAGTTAGCATTTTTTAAAAACAGTTATGAATTTACAGTTTACTCGTTTCCAAGTATGTAAAATATTAATTTGTCTAGAAATAATGATCTGCTTGTGGTTATGAAAAGTCTCATATTCAGGTATAAGACTTAAGTTGGAACTTGTCCAAATAGGCACAGCTTAGCTGAACGTTAAGGTATTTCCTCCATAAACTTGAAGAGACAGGAGAGCAAGTAATGTTAGACCTTACTCTGAAACCCAGGTAACTGAGAGGTTTCTTAGGTTTGTAAAAGATTCACGAGTCCTCTGCTTTCTGGAGATGGATCTAGCACCAAATGACTGCACTATACTGAAGTAAACACTAGATTAAGACTGTTTTGTAATAGCGACAATAATTTTTCAGGTAAAAAAGCAGTCTTGCTTTGAGTAAAAACTGAATATAAACGACAGAAAAATTAAAACATGGAACACTACTGAAATACATTCACTATGTTATACTTGAGAAACAAAACTTTTTGAGGAAGTGGCAGAAGAAAGAAATGGGGGTTGGGGTGAGGTTTGTTTAATATTCTCTGTCATTGTACAGTAGCCAGCTGATAACACAGATATGTTAACAACAGTTTTTAGAGAACTGGAGCATGCTTTATATTACAAATTATTAACGGAAAGATTAGTGAAAAAAATTGGCAAGTTTTGAAAAATCAATTTGTATACAGTCTTAATTCAACAGAGTATTGCAGGTGATTAAAGATATTTTACATTCTTTAAATTATATAATAATAAATAATAGCACTTGCTTCTCTTCATAATAAGTTTGGGGGTTATTTGTAATGAATCTGTATAGATACCAGATTAAAATTTATTGTTTAAGAAGGAAGAGGACTTTTTAGTATTTAAACAAAAATAATATATTTATTTTCTTTTTACATTAAAAATATACCTTTTTTTTAAGAATGGGAAACAGCCAGAAGCTCAGAAGCTGCTAAAGAAAATATTCAAACTACACAGAGTGCTGCAGTTGATAAGAGTACAGTTATTACAACGCAGACAGAAGCTTACACGCAACCAGTCACTATGCTGCAGGTTTGTATTGGTCTTGAGTTTGCAAAAACCCACAGAACTGGAGGACAAGCTTTTTATTCAATATAGATAAATTTTAATGCTGAGTTAAATTACTTAAATCAAAAATACTTAAGTCCTATGCCCATGTGTGTTTCTTTCTGAAATATTTTAGAGTAGAATCAGTTGCCGTGGTTGAGCAAAATCTTTAGATTCTTGCACAACATATCCCAAACTTGTGTACAATCTCAAATGAAGGCTTAACTGTTGAAGACAGAGCAATTGTAAAAAAAAAAATAAAATACTGGCACATTAGTTTTTTAAGGAGAAATTAAAATGAGCCTACAGAAAGTATTTTGCTTATAGAGCAAAGCATCCTGCTGTAAGCTATGCAATGCAGTAATCTTTTTTTCACTTGGGCTTGTTTCTTCTCTACCAATGTGCTTTTCCCCATATCAGCTTTGAATGTAAGTTTAATTATTTTCTCAGTAATTTTGGGCAGGATTTTATAGGGACGGTCTCATCTTTAAAGTGTCTGATTATTCAAGTAGTGTGCTGTTGCACTCCATATGCAGTAATTCATAAGAGTCTTCACTGTATTTTTTTCCTACTGTTGAACCAGAGAATTTTTATTAACATCCAGTTAGTAACAAGGTATTGTGGAAGGCTAGAAAAATACAGCGTAATTTTTCTTCAGTATATTACACTACAAATGTTTATCAAGTATAAATAAAAATGCTTTTTGTCAAACTCTTTATATCTTTTTTATAATGACTATATGAAATTGTAAAATGAGAAGCAGTTGCTTAGTACACATTTTTTTGCATTCATATTATTACTGTTTTATCTTCCCTAACGTGTCTAGAAATTTCCAATACTTGAGCTTACTATGAAAGTTAACGTATTTGCATTTACTTGCATTGAATTTTGAGCTTTTTTCTTTTCACAAAAATTGTCTTCAGTATTTTTTTCAGCTGTCTCCTAGTGTACACTGTGATCAGTATATATTTAAATATAGATATATATTGCTTTTATTCTGCTGCTAATTACTTGCAATTATGCTGCACTGTATCTAAACACGTAGCTCAAACAGAATGTTGAGAAATATTAAGTAATTTTCAGGATTTCATCAGGATTATTAACCTTATAAATACATACACTAAACTGAACTTTTCAGTACTGTTCTAAAATATGTAAAATTTTCTAATGAGAATAGAATCACTGTTTTCTAAGTGCTTCCAATTTGCCACACTATCTACATTTTCCTTCCTGTTCTCTATCTGTCTCCCTTTCTGCATTCGCCTCTCTCCCATAGGTAAATTTTTATTCCTGAATAATACAGCGTTTAACCATGTGTTTTTCTGTTCTTTTAGACTAAAGAAAAGGTAGCATAGGATTCTTCCAGTGTCCTTGTTTACCTGCAGTGTAGGTACCATTTCAGAATGCACTTTAATTCTTCAGGGTATGCAGAATATATACAAAGCCTTTGGTACATTTAGGGCTTAACATGAATTGCACTCGAATCAGTTTGTCCCTCTTTCAATGTCATTGTATACTGTTAAGTATTGAAGTTGCTCGTTTTTTCTTTCCACGAAAAAAGATTCCAGTAGCTCCAGCTGTACCTGCTGTTAGCTTGGTTCCACCTGCGTTTCCTGTCACAATGTCTGTCCCTCCTCCTGGTTATAGTGCAATTCCTCCTCCACCCTTCTTGCGAGCGAGTTTCAACCCTTCGCAGCCACCTCCAGGTAAGTTACTAAAAATGAAGTTGAGTATGTAATGAATATACTCAGTTTGTATGCTTCTGTGTACATCCTGCTTTGCATAGTTTTCCATCAGCTACTGGTTACTGTTTGAACCAGTTAACCTTTGAATCTTTAATTTTAATCTAGTATGAAATTTCCTATGTCTAACTTAATATTATTTTTACCAGTGTATTCTGTCAAGAATAGGAATTACAGCAGAATTTTTTTTTTAACTTTCATAAAAATGAAAATTTTAAAATCCTTAAGATTAATCTCCTTTCTTTGGAAACTTTTGAAACTCTTCATTTTCTTCTTTGGATATTGCTGGCAGAAATCACTTTAAGATGCACATGCAGATCATCTACAGTAAAGATGGGGTTGTTTTTGAAAACAATAACCACTGTTACCTCTTCCTATACATTTGTTGTTTGCTAGTCTTCAGTGATGCAGCTTTTCAGGATCATGTAGGCAAGCTTTTACTGCAAAACTTTATTTGCTTGTCTTGTAATAATTTGTCGGGTTTTTTCCATACAGGTTATATGCCTCCCCCAGTTCCACCTGTGGTCCCCCCACCTGTTGTCCCGCCACCTGTTGTCCCACCAGTTGTTCCAACACGTAAGTTTGATTCTTCTAGTAGTTGTTTGCGTGTTATGAAAAGCTTACTGTGGAGTTAGTGGGAAAAAATAATGTAGCAAATTAATTATTTATTATTTGTGTGCATAGTTCAATATTTAAACCTGCCTCTAACAGGTGTATCTGTTACTTGAGCTATTTGGTGTTAGTCACTGAATAATTCGTAATTATTTTTGCTCAGTGTTTTAACTGTATTCATTTAATGTTTAAAAATATCTGTTCAAGAATACTGATGGCTTAGGTTGCCTGCAGTTCATGGTCTCTACAAAAAACTAAATAATACAGTGCTGATTGAGGGTAAGAAATTATTATCAAAAAATGTAACACTTAGGGTAATTAATTTCACTTATTTTGATTTGTCAGCCTGTCCTTTGCCAAACTAATCTTGAAGGCTTGAATATATGATTACTGTGATACATTTCTGATATTTCTCTACAGCTTTAGTCCAGCCTCCATTACCAATTGCACAAGAGACAATGAAGGATGTTCCTTTTACTAGCCTTGTTCTACCAGTTGGCACAGTTACTAGCAATCTAGCTACTCCAACGTTATCTGCTGGAAGTGTTTTTAATCCTCTGCCAATCACCAAACCAGAATCAGATGAAAAGGGGTCACATCTTGCAGACCTTCAGATTTCTTCCAGTGAAAACAGTAGATCTGGTAAGAAATGTCTTTATTGTCTGATACCATTGCATACAAGAAACTACCTACTTCTGGGGGGGGGGGGGTTCAGATCGTAGTCCATTGTACTAATAACTACAGAGTAGGAAGTTTTAGACAGGGTATCATTTTCAATTTAAGTTGGTGCAGTAGTGGGAACCATTTTTGTCGTCATCATCTGATCATTGGTTTCTAGCAGCTTGTGCTCAGAGATGTTCTCTTCATAGACTCAAGAATAAAGCTGAGACTTGGAGCCCTTTAGAAAACTTGTTAAAAGTGCATTCTTACTACACAAGTGGCAATAGAAGGGAGCAGGAGAGGGTAGGATAGTATAAAATTTATAGAATTATATCAAAGATTTTAATACTTCCCTTGCATAATTTGGATGATGGCTGTGGGATTTGTCAATGTTAAGCTGCTGTACCTTCTTTAGTGTGTAGAGACGCTCATTTCTGTGGCATAATGTCTGTTTATCACTAATGTGATTAAAATTATGTATGTTCATTATAGAAACTGAGACAGGTCTTGTCAGCAGTATCATCACTGAATGAATTAACTGAATATGAATTAAGCTGCATTTTGTTTTGAATGCTATGTGTTACACTGGCATTTTCTATTAACTGTTGTTCTTGTTGCTGCATTTTAGTGCAAAGTGATGTCTCGAGTAGCTCTGGACTCGTTGGAGGAGTGCAGCCACCCAGCGTCTCAAGCAGCTCTGGGATTACTGGAGAAGGGCAACCACCCAGCGTCTCAAGTAGCTCTGGACTTGCAGGAGGAGTACAGCCACCCAGTGTTTCAAGCAGCTCTGGACTTGTAGGAGTGCAACCACCAACTGTTTCAAGCAGTTCTGGTCTTGCAGGAGGAGTGCAGCTACCTACTGTCTCCAGTAGCTCTTCTCTTGCTGGTGGAGTTCAGCCACCCAGTGTCTCAAGTAGCTCTGGACTCATGGCTGGAGTGCAACCACCAAACGTCTCCAGTAGCTCGGGGCTTCTAGCTGGAGTGCATCCACCCAGTGTCTCAAGCAGCCCTGGCCTTCTGACAGGAATGCAGCCACCCAGTGTCTCAAGCAGCTCAGGAGTTCTGGTAGGAGTACAGCCACCAAGTGTTTCGAGCAACTCTGGGCTTCTCATAATGCCACCACCTAATGTTTCAAGTAGTTCTGGACTTATGGGAGTGCCACCACCAAATATTTCAAGTAGTTCTGGACTTCTGGCAATGCAGCATCCAGCTGGGGTTCAAAACATGCCTCATTTAAATATTAGTAGTCAAAGGATGCCGGGAATGCCTCTTATAGATATCCGTCCAGGCCTAATGCCCCATTCGCCTGGACCAAGGTTTCCATTAATGCAGCCAGGAATGCCACCGCAGCGTAGTATTCCTCCTCCAGCAATCCTTGATCCATCTCTTCACCCACCACCTCGAGGTCCTTTTCCTCCAGGAGATATTTTTAATCAAACAGAAAGACCTTTTGGAACACCAGGAAGACAAAACATTGATAGCATTTCTAATCCAGAGAAAAGACTACCGCTTGGAGGTGATAACATTCAGCAGGAAGGAGACAGAGATTATCGCTTTCCTCCAGTGGAAAACAGAGATAATCTTAACAGACCATCTCCAGCGGATGTCAGAGATTCTGTTGGACGACCACCAGTTGATCCAAGAGAAGGCATAGGAAGGCCTCCAGTAGATGGAAGAGAACACTTTGCAAGACCACATGTAGACATGAGAGAAAATTTTGGAAGACCGGGTATAGATAACCTTGGTCGAAGAGAGCATTTTGGTTTCAATTCAGACAAGCACTGGGGACAGAGAGGAGATTATGATGAAAGAGAGCACCATGCCTTCCCTATTTATGGTGGCCCTAAAGGCTTCCATGAAGACAGAGAGAGGTTTCGGCATGTAAACTATAGGTTTGATAGTAGAAGTGGTCCCAATTGGAACAGAGGATTTGAACAAGATGCTCACAGAGATTTTGATGACCGCAGAAGACCCTGGGAAAGACAGAGGGATAGGGATGACAGAGATTTTAATTTTTGCAGAGAAATTAATGGGAACAGGTTTGGAAGAGACAGAATGTCAAACAACTGGATCCCCCCTCCACATCCACGGGTTTTTGAATATTTTGATGGGGCCACTTCCCAACGCAAAGCCGATAATATGCCCCAGGTAAACGGTGAAAATACAGAGACAGAAAGTCAGCCACCAACTGCACAGGTGCAGGATGATCCAGAACTTTATGAAAAACTGACATCTTCCGTCGAGATAAACAAAGAGAAGAGTGACACAGAAGCTGATATAGAAAGTGAACCAGTGGTAGAAAGCACAGAAACTGAGGGGACATAATCATCACTCAGTAGGTAAAAGATACCTTTTGTAAAGTTGTCATCTCTCTGTAATAGATAAATGGCTGACTGGACCGTAGCAGTTCACTTTTGTCTGCCAGAATTAAGTTAATCTGATGTTCATGTTCATCTTTCACTTAAATAACTGTACAACTGACTTGTATAGAACACTGTTCTTAATTTGAACATGGTAGGTAAACATTTTTTTTTATTTCTCTGGTAAAGCATAAATTTTCCCCCACTTGCTTTTAATTTCACAAAGATAAAATAACAGCTTGTCAAACAAAGACTTCCTATGGAAGAAAATGGAATTTTTTAGATACTACCCTTAGGTTGGCTATCGAAATTGTTATACTTGAAAACAGGTGCTGGTGTATCTTGTCCGTGTTTTTAGGCTGCTGCAGAATCTTAAAGTATAGACAAAGCTGTGATATTTTATGTTCCTACAATTCGGCAGAAAATGAAATGGCCCATGTTATATAAGGAGCATAACACAGAGATTAAAAGTGATTTTGTAAAATCTACACTATAGTCTCTGTTTTCTCTAAAGTAAGTGTTTGTGATTTGTTCCTCGTACTGCAGTGGGTTTAAAAAAATGAAAAAATACATTTTAATGTTGGGTGCATTTTGTTTTTAGATGCCAATAAAGCATATTTGTTTGATAACAGTGTTCTAGGTATTGTATTTTTTTAAAAACCTGCAAGCTCTAAAAACTTGGAATCAGCTATAATATGTGCTTAGCTAGTCGTTGCAAAAGGTTTATATTACTTTTGTAAGACCAATGCAACAGTTATATGTGCAAGAAGCATATGGTTTTTAGATCGAAAATCATGCAGTCATATTAGTTTATGTAAATAATATATGTATGTAAATATTTGTGTAAACTGTTTGTAGATACCACTTTTCTGTGCGTGCCTGTGTATGTGCACACACTCACAGAATACTGTAGACAGTTCAATAAAACTGAAATGAAACTAGGTTGTAAAAAGTTGCCTTTCACCTTCTTTAGGTAGTAAGATAACAAAACTTCACTGCAATACTGTCAACCTTATATTTACCTTCTCATGCTCATTGTTATGATGTTCTTGCTACTTCTAGAAGGTGGAACATGATGTACTGTAAGAATATGCAGTAGGATTTTAGCTTACTTTTTAAAATGCAGATATGCATGAAGCCAAACCTTAAGCAAATATTTGCATTGTCTTATTTTGTAATATATTTGGTATTCTGGATAGATAGTGGTAGTGTTCCAGTACTTTGTGGTTATTTGTTTTTAGTGATTCAAAGTCCAGAAATGTTGCACGAAAAGTAAAATGCTGTTGTTGGTCTAAAAAACCCTACATGTTTTTAACAGAAATAAGGGGGGCTTTGTGTTTTGATGGCTTAATATTGGAGTAGAACCTCTTGTTAAATTGTTGAGATGAATTGGCTGCTTAGGTAAATTAGTAGTGCTATTCTCTCCTGTTTCACCTACTTTGCTGCTTGTGTATTCTTTAAATTGGTGGTGAAAGATTTGGCTCTAGGGTAATGCCAGATTTTCAATTTGTTTCACTGAAGTGCATTTCACCAACTTCTTTCAACATAACTTTTGTTAAAATTCTGTGTCTGAAATCATCCTTTCACTCAGTTTTGAGAAAGTTGTTTTTCTTTTGCATAATAGGATCCAAGGGTAGATTCTGTTACATGAATGCCCCTTTGGTAGAAGAAACATTTTTAGCTCAGATCAGAATTTTGATCTTTAACATTGAAACGTTAACATGCAAGTTTTAATTCCCCTTCTGCTTCCCCCAAAGGGATCAAAGTATGAGAATGTCACATGAGTGTAAAGCATAAGCATGTCTTTGTAGAAGCAAGTTACGCATGTGTGTGTTGCCCTCTCCCTCTGGGAGGTGGAGTATTTTTTCATGCTGTGTCATGGTTCAGTTTTTCAATTACAAGGACTTTTATTCTGGATAGTAAACAAACTGTCAGCTTAATGAAGGTAGCCTTTTGAAAGAGTGGACTTGAATGAATGATTCTTTATCTACTGTGCAAGTAGTAGTTATTAGGATGTAGTGAGGTATGCATTAAATAACTATTGCTTTGTAATAGACCTTGCTGATGTGTTTATTACCAGAACGTGTCTCGGGATTTGAGATGAACAATGTTTAAGGTAAAATACCTTCATGAGCAGACTCTGGCTCAAAGAACTTGGCTGATGCTGCTGCACCACCTACTAGTAGTATTCTGGTCAGGCGGATATGGTTGTGTGGAAGTCCAAATGCACAAAATAGCTATAAAGGGTACTTTATGAACGTAAGAGATTTTCTTTATTTCATTTTAATATGTGCAGTTTGAAAAGGCTTCAGTCATATAGACCACATAAATACTCAGAATCAAACACATATTGGCAGTAGCTTTTCTTTTCAAACATTTTGTTAAATGCCTCTTTAAAACTGAAAGTTAATCTGTTTTTGTTTTTCTAAACTGGGACTGGCAGTATGCTGAATTGCTCATAGTATGATGGTTTAGGTAAATTACTACGTGAGAGATGTTAAACAATTTGGTTGGTAGTGGTATAAAACAATGTATTATTTAATGATTTTTCATCTTTGTTAATCTCTTTCAAGCATTAATAAATTGGCTACTGTACATATGTGTTATACCATCAATTTTTAACAGCTATTTTATTTTTTTGTAGAATAAAAGTTTGTTGTACAGTGTTCAGTTGCATCATGTTTACAGCTAGAATGGTTCCATTTCTTATTTTATTAATGTAGACTGCAGACAAATGCTATCAAAATAGCCATATTCAGAAACTCAGAAGGGACTTAATATTACCGAAACAGTATGGTTTCTTTATCTTGCCAGTAGGAATTTTTAAATCTTTTAGAGTTTAAGTGAAGACTTTCTTTTCTCACTGTAGATTAAGCCATCATAAGCCAACAGGTGCACTGAAAGGAGCAGTCCTGAGATCCAGATCAGTTCTTTGATGTGGTTCACAGTAGTGACATGTATTTTTTGCTGATGCAAAGGAAAGAGTGAGAATGGGACAGAAAGAAGATGGGCTCCAGGCATTTGGGCAGCAGTTCTGGCTTATGTGTGTTTAAAGCTTTCTTTAGTGGTGAAAGGTGTCGATTCTAGCAACTGAAGAAGCTGATATACTATTTACATAAGTAACATACATATTGAAAAATACTTCAGCTAGCTTTGCAAGCAACGCAATATATTTAGGCATGCACATTTACTTGAAAACCTTATGCATTAGTTGATGTATTTATTACCTTTTTAAACAGACTGTAATTCTGATCTTTCAGTGTACTGTATTTGAGCAGAATGCTATGTCCGTAAAGATTGCAAAGATGAAATATAGCCTTCATTTGCTATAAGGACATGATTTCTTTGCTGAAGCCTCTTTCTGTGAGATATTTGTACACTTTCATTTTTATATGTAGTGCTTCACATTGTTATTATAAACTCAAGAGAATAGATTCTGTAAGATTCCTTTGCTTTAGTAGAGTACTATACCATTCTTGAAGGCATTTCAGTGATTTAAATGGCTTTATTTATGAAGTTAAGGTACTCTTACCCTGAATAAGGCAAGACGGGCATACTGTAATCAAGCCTGTAGTGTGGCATGCATGGGCATTGCGTAAGCACAGTGGGAAAATTATCAAATAAACTGTCTGTAGAAGGTATTTATAAAATAAGCCAATTTATTGCAGAATTCTCTCAAAATACAGTGTCAGCAGTTTTGAAACATGTGCAAGTGTAGGTTATGCCGGTCAACACTTAAAGCACTCAGTTTCTTGATTCATGTTCCACTAACTCAAATCTTTGGCGTAATTTTATTTGAAACTGGTAAAAATGGATCCCAAATTTCATTCTTTGTATTTAAGGGTGTATGTATGTAAGGGTGACTTTTTTTGTCTCTTGATAACGGGAGCTGAACAGATATAATTTTAAAACCTATTCAGAGTATCTGGAGTCATCAAGAAGGACTCAGACAATTTTTTGTTATTGTTAATTCAGGTAATGAAAGGATCTTTCTTTCCTTGTTGACAGCTATTGCTGATTCCTTGAATTTTACATTAGTCACATTTTCCTCTCAAATGCTGAGCTTTCACAAGCAAGCATGTACTGGGAAGCCATCCACTTGTGTAGGTGATTGATTTAAAAGGCATAAAGGCAGGATATTCTTTTTTAATTTGAAGCTATTTATTTGAACAAGAATGGCAAAAGCATCTTTCTGCCATGTTCTTTCACTATATTCATTCACATCAGCAGAAACTTTGCAGTGGCAAAGAGAATATCATGTTGCAAGACTTTCTTAATTGTAACTAGTCCTACATTTCTCCTTGAAGGGTTCTTTGTGATGTTTTTTGTTCCACTTAGTCTGTGCAAGTTCTTTGGGTACTGAGTAAACATTTTGAATCTTCTAACATATATACATGATATTTCATAGTCAGGAAAAGTCAAGTAAAGCTACTACAAAGAAAATTCATGACATCTCTTTAAAAGAAATAACTTCCAGCAAAGGTGTACAGGATCTGAAAAGTGATTCTTGTCAGCAATAGGATGGTGTGAAAGTCTGTTAATAGTGTTTTTGTTGAAGTTGATAAGCTGTAAAACTGTATTTGCCATAATTCTTATATTCCTTTCTACTGTGCACAAACCTGATGAAAAAGGGTGGTCTCATTGAATGTCCTACTCTTAGTCTCTTTTAGATGCTCTGCTACCAAAGATTAGAGGAGGGGAAGGACCAGTCATCTGCACACTCTTAAAATTCAAGAGGTTGTTAAGATATGTTGTGCAGTTGAAGCTGAATGTACTTTCTCCTTTTAAGAAGTTTAAAATTCACGTTTCAGCACTTGCATAGTAACAGTGGTGTTAGTGGTGTCACTGGTTTACTAATCTTAATCTGTACTTTTGTCATTTTTCTTTTAAAGTTAACTCACTAATGTTAATTTTAATTTTTTTCCTCTTCCTATTAGATGAAATCATACTAATTCCCTCAGACAAGGGACTATTTTGTGCTTTACAAAAAATTGTCTGGTCAGAGAGTATTTCAACCTTTAGATAGGTTAGCTGAACATTTTTTCCTTCCTGTTGTAATGCTTTAATGCTACAGTCTTCCTCTTGAATGATTTTCTGTATGCATCTCTGTGTTACAACAGATATGTGTTCACATAAGCGTGTATCGTATAACGGGTATGTGTTCACATTAGCATCTATCAAGCTTTCTGTTGAAGTGAGGAAAAACTGTGAGATTCTTTAAGGTAGATGACTTGATGTGTTTCTAAAACTAGGGTAAACTTCACAGCCATATTGATTTGTGTACTGGAGCATTATAATTGTGTTGGAGTGTTATAACTGTGTGCAAGCCAGTGGAAAAAATCCTTAATAGGTGAAGAGTATTAAATGGGTATAGAATAGTTAACTTGGACATAGATTGGTAGGATTCACATAGGCCATAGATGCAGGGAATTTGGATCTCAATGTCACTTTCACACTGAAGGAGAGGTCATTTTATAATTACATATGCGAAAATAAGAAATGTAGCTTTTTCTTGATAACAGCAGAAATTAAGAAGAAATTATCTTAGTGTATACCATCTCTTCTAAAAATCCATCTGCCTTTGTCTAGTCAAAGGAAGCTCTATCATTGTCACTTTAGTTGATCAAGGGAAAAACTTGATTATGATTATTAGATTTATGCTGTTTCTGAGGTAATCAGTTCTCTTTCAGCAGTGCAGTGAAATGCAGTTTTAAGTGTGCCTTAAGTTTTTCCCTCTGAAAAGGAGCTTAAATTTCAAACTTTAGATAAAAATGTGGACAAAATCAGTACATTTTTGTCTGCAGAATTTGAAATGTACTTTTGGGTTCAGTGATTTTCTTCAAGAAAATCTTTGTAATTTCAGTAGTGTAAGTACATAAATACTAAATGGACACCCAGCTTTAAAAATGTTTACTGAAAGTTATACTAGTTTGTCCAGTTCATTTTTCATTTATTTTGACATGCTTGCAATACATTATTTTGTCAAGTGGTGCCATCACAGAATTCCTCTTACCACAAATTAGAATTACCTTTGAATTATGTAATTCAATTGCATAATTATTTAAATCTAGGACAATTGTAAGTCTTTCTCTTGAAATTTATGGATTTCTTCTACAGTATGACTACCAATACAGGAAATTCACTATTAAGAACCTTATTGTTCAAGTTATCTGTGTTTAAAAGTAAAATACTGAAAACAAATTGAAATGCTTGCTGATTAATTTGGAATTTTGTTACTTATTAAAAGCAAAATAATGGCATCTTCTCAAATTTTATGTTGATCAAAAATTCACCATACTAAAAATATGAAATTCATGAGTTGTAGTTCTGTGAATTGATAAAATGAGTGAGGCACCCATTATTTTCATTAGAATGTGAAACCTTGAAGTGATAAGGGTTAATATGTTAGTTATACAAAATATTGAAATGTAGTCTTAAGTTTTGTATACATTTCATAAATACTTTACACCTGCAATCCTTGTTGCATGATCAGAACCACTGTGGAACACAGGAAAGTGGCATGAAATGGCAAATTCTGGCAGACACCAAAAATGCTGTACAGATTGGATCTATATGTAAACCAGTGGATAGATAATGTTTCAGAGGCAGTAGCTTGTCAGGTAAAACCTCAGTTACAAAGCATGAATAAACCTTTCTTTTTTATATTTAATAAAAGTTAATGCATATATTCTGATTAAATATTCACTAATTAGCAAGCAAGTATCCAAAGATTTTAAGTAGTCCTGAGCATTTTTCTTAATGTTGGTTGTACCTTAATTAAAAATAAACAAACAAACAAACCCAACAAAAAAAACCCCAAAACACAAAAAAACCAACCTAAACAAAAAAAAACAGACCCAAAACCCACCACAAAACACAGGAAGGTGTAAATACTTGTAAGACAACATTCTTGGAGAAATAACTTGATACAAATGTTAATATATTTATGTGGGTATTTGTAAGCAGTAGATACTGCAGAACTCGGGTAAAAGCATGATAAAGAACTATCTCACTTGCGAGGAATGTGCTGAACTGAGGTGTCGGTGTAACATCCAAGGCTTTTTTGTTCCTCGTTTGTGTTACCTCCCAGTCCAAATCTGACCTTGTTCAGGGTTCCGCTCTGAACGCTGATTAGAGGATCTTCTGATTAATGCATATGTATTTTGTCTAATATGTAATACATCGTATGTGTTGCATCACTGTAATACAGACACAGACAGCTAGTGGGAAGTTGAGAGTGATGTTGTTTAGTGGGCATGGTTGATGGTTGGACTCGATGATCTTGAAGGTCTTTTCCAACCTAAATGATTCTATGATTCTTTGATTGTTTGGGGCAAAACTATCAGAGAAATCAAAAGAGGAGATTACTGAATTGTGTGAACCACCAATCTGAAACATTGCTGTTGAGGAATGTCTACTTAATACAGAGATAATTACTGATTACTTTTAAGTATCTCAGTAGTTAAAAGGGTGTATTTCACAGTAGTATCCCGGTTTGAACAGTCCTAGCTACGGTATTGTTTGCTTTCTGCTATCTGTAGAAAATACAATTTTCTTGATGAAATTTATTACATTGCCTTTCATGTTATTTCTAGAGACTTTTTTGAAGTCTTAAGTGTTTCAGTCTTAGTGTTAAAACAGTGTGATATACATCCTCACTTGTTTACCAGTGGGACATTGCCATTGGCTTCATTGGATCCAGAATTTCAAACCCGTTGTCTTGTGTGTCTCAGTTTCTTTTCAGCAGCTTTTAGAAAAGCTGGTGGTAGAACATCATCTGGTTCTAGTTTCATTGATTTTTTTTTTTTTTTTAATACTGCTTTTAAGCCTAAAGCCTTGGAGGGGATAATTTTTTTTGTTTCAAATCCTGTTC